AAATTATGGTGGTTTATTATTTATACAATAGCTATGGAAGAAAATCAAACTTAGATAAAATAAATACTATAACAAAAATGAAAGCATGTAGCAGCACCACCAAAGTGAAAAGATTTTTACATGCTTGTATATTTTATTATATATGAATTCTCTATTATTCTTATATTATAGAATCTTTATATCTATTATTAAAAAAAAAAAAAAAAAAAAAAAAAAAAAAAAAATGCATGAGGTGAGGAGCAAGAATTGGCCATGGATGGATTAAAGGTGGTTTTGAAATCACGACTAGTGTTAAGGGAAAAGGACTATAATTATGGAAGATTGGTAATAGTAACAATTGACACAAGTTCTATAGTCATTGGATGTACTATTAGAGAAGATAATAAAAAAGATAAGAATTTTACAATTAAGTTTATAGCAAGGATTTTCACTGAGATGTAAAGAACTTATTTACAAGAGAAAAGAGAACTTTGGGATGCTCTTATTACATTGAAGGTTGAGAAGAATTACTTAATAGGTACTCATGTGATATTAGAGATTAATTTTTTGCCTTTTCTTGGAATGGTTTTTAATTTTACTACATTGGTTATTACCATGCTTTAATATATTACTTTTATTAAGTCTCTAAATCCTATTTTGGTGTACGTCATAGAAAAAAAAAACTTGATGGCAGATATAATGTCTAAGATTAGGTAATCAAAAGAAAAGGAAATGCTTGCATAAGAAGAAGATGAAGACTTAGCCTAAGACTTTGTATTTGCCACAAGTAGAAGAAATCAAGATGATGAGGTTGTATTCTTCAAAATTGGTTTATATGAAAGGAGGTTCAGAGACATTGGCTTGTATTTGAGTACAATGAAGAAGCAAGAGGATTGATTTGATAAGATCTTTAAAGATATTAGATATTAATATTACAAATATCTTTTATTTTATAGATTTTTATAGTAGATGCTAAAAAAAAAGATAGTATATTATTGAGAGTGGTGGATGATTTGAAAATCAAACACAATATATTAAGTGAGATCAATGATACATTATAAGTTGGACATAGAGGAGTTTGGACTACCTACACTAAGATCAAAGAATACTATTGGTGGAAGGACTTATATAAGAATATTGAAGAATTTATAAGCTCTTGTAAAGAATATCAATTGTAATCCAAGGTAAGATATAGAGATGGTTTATGCCCTACTTATCCACTTGCCATTCATTTTTAATAGATAATTGATTTGATTTCCATGCCAATGGGGCTTAAGAGCATAAAGTATTTAGTTTTGGTAACAAAAGAATTCTCCAATTATGTGGAAGGTAAGAAAGAGAAATTGCTATTGGAACATCTATATTAGCTTTAAGTTGGTAGCTGAGTAACATTAATGTAGTTTTTTGGACGTTTTCTCACAATCTATAAGTTGGATTAGATTAAATTTTTTTAAGCATATAAAAGATTTATAATAGTATTTATTTCCAAAATTTTATATCTAGTAGACAGTCAAATTAAAAGTTATAGCTTGTTAAAGCTCACTTACTATGTTTAGGGCTTATAAAGAAAAATCAAAATAGCCTAATTATAAAGTAATAAAATAATTGGAATTTGCGTATAAATGAGGTTACTAAGAAGAATATTTTTGAACACTTTGTATTGGCTTTAAGTACTTTTGAATTGAAATTTGAATTGCATTCTTTTTATATGAGTAAAATCTATTAGGATTTCTTAGATATTTATAAAATATAACTTTACCTTCTACAACTAGGTGCCTAATGTATTTTTAAACAAGACAACATGTAATACAATAGTGGTAAGATAGAATGAATTATATAGAAAATTTAAAGACTTTTAAACTTTAATATTTTGATTAATAATTCAAAGGTGATAAGACTTATAATGACTCTTATTTTGATGATGGAGGTATTGTCGTCTAATTCTTTAGAATATATTATAATATATGTTGGTTTAGAGGGAGCCAATATCTTGATACACTAAATTTAAGTATATCAAAGATTTTTGGAGGATGATTAGTTTTGTTTGTAAGAAACAAGGATTATAATGCTAATATATTTACAAATTTGAATAGAATTTAGAATATGAGATTGTTGTCTTGAATAGATTATTTAAGCTATAAAGATATTATCTTTTAGGATATATATCCGGTTCTACAGTAGTTTAAGATACATATTGGGAGAAAGTTAGGATAGAGATTTTTTATATCAAATAGGCTTTCCTTGAACTAGTGTCATGTGAGAGGGGAATTGTTAGAATTTTGAAGTAAAGAAATTCATGAATGGTTTGGATTTTTCTATGCCATCTATTACATTTTTATCTTTTTGTAATGAGATTTTAAAAGAAGTTAGATCTTGTTGTTAGTTTTTTAATAAGTATTAGTACATAAAAAGAAGAGCTTAGACAAAGGAGATCTATACAAATTTGTAGAATAGAAGATTGCTAGAATTTTTGAGCGGTATGATTCAAGACAAGTTTGGATTTTTCCATCCCATCTATTACATTTTTATCTTTTTGTATTGAAATTTTGAGAAAATCTAGTTCTTATTGTTAGCTTCTCAATAAGCTATTGCATGCTAGAAAAAGATCATTATTAAAGAAGATTCAAGCTAAGTTGTAGATGAAGATTTTGAGGGCTGCAACTATAAGAAGCAGCCAACTTTTTCTTTGATTTGGCTCTCAATTTCTTTGAAATTTGTTTGTCGACTATGACATTTTGGAGCTTGTAGCTTAAATTAAGCCTAATGACTTAAATATTTTTTAGATTACATTAGTAATAAGTAATTTATAGGTATTTTAGTGAGAGGAGGTTTGGATTTGATATTAGAGTTAGGAGTTGGATGCATCTTGGCACAAAACAGGAATTAATCTAAAATTTATACTTAGCCTTTGAACTACCCTTTTATATTTGAATTCATTTGGAACAATATTATCATTTTTACAATCCACTTATAATCAAGGATTCCATATTCTCATAAAGAGGCTCACCTTCTTCACACAAATAGATATTTATAATAAAAATCCAATCAATATTAATATAAAATTTATCATAAATATTTATTATTTTTTAATCAATAATTTTTTATTTTTAATAATTATGAAAAAAGAGACAAAGAGATTTTAGTTAACTTTGTTTGATTATTATAAATAATTTTTTAAAATAATTTATGCTTAGATATGTGTTATTGTAATTAAGAATTAAAAAGACTCTATAATGTGTTTTATTATGTGCTAATATACTTCTATAATAAGATGATTTGTTCTTTTTTTTTTTTGTCATATTCTAATATTTCATAATACATACTATTTTGTCTTTAATTTCTTATTGTACAAGACAATAATGCCTGATTGTCTAAAATATTTTTATTGTATTAATGCAAATAAACATATTGATATGCATAAGTATATATATATATATATATATATATATATATATATGCCTTAGAATATTATAACTCCATTGAAACAATAAAGTTTTCTCTCATAAGATCAATTGCATCTTAAACTACTTCAGTGGGTTGTTATTTTAGTCTTTTTTATATTCTTTATAAAGAATTCATTTAGCAAGTTTGTTTTTTGAACTAACCTATCAAACAATATAAATTTCACAAGATTGATAGAGATCCATAATATTAAACAATGAAATGAATACAAGTTTTATTATTTTTTTACAAAATTTTCATATATATATAGTTAGTTAGTTAGGTACTACTTTTATTTTATAGTAAATAATACTTTTTACTGATTTTCTTAGATAATATTAACTAAAAGAATCCAAAAAAAATTTGATATTGTGTAGATATTTGCAAAAATACTAATAATAATCATGAAACAACTAATATCAAAGATATCAAATAGCTATATTTTCTTCTGATATAAATCTAACATGACATTAAATTATTGTACATTGTGTGTGAATAAATATTTTCATTCATGTATTTTTAAGTACTAACTCAATTTAATTTAAATGTAATTTATACATTGTAATTTTAGGTCTTTTTACGAGTACATTATAATGTCCTGTATTTGTTGCTATTAATAATTTAAATCAATGTGTTTATCTTCGACATCATTGATTGTGTGGAAAGATTTAGATAGAATTTTATTGTTGTTATTTCACATTTAAAAAGACTCCAAATAATAGTATTCTTTATTATGCAGTACTTATATTGAAAGACCCTAATCTCGGAAAATATTTAAGTTATTTATAGTTATACTTAGAAAGGTTTTTTATAGCTTTAATTATATATATGTTTATATATATATATATATATATATATGGTCTTAATCCTATTGTCAATTTCTACAATTTTTATTGCACAGGCAGGTAAGGTTATCTCAAAGTTGGTTATTGTATTAAACCGATTAGACTGCAATTTATTTAAACACTTAGTAAATTGACCAATCATTTTGCAAATTCTAATGATAAAGGTTATAATCCTAGATATGAGAGTTATTGGAATTTCATTGCATAGCAATAAAATATTCTGTATGGACTATATTATTTATGCACTCCAACTTTATTTTTAATTAAATTTATATTTTGAAATTTTTTCTTGTAAATAAAATTACTGTATATACCTGTATACACAAAAGTACTATGATCTAAAATAAAATAAAATATAAAATTGAAGTGATCACATTTTTTGTTTTGTTGTACCAATAACGTCATTTTGGATATTGATGGAGTTATCAAAAATGTAGTTTAAATAATTTTTAACTATTATTTTTATTTTCCCAACGCCGAAAGTCAAAAACTTTTGTAGAGCATTGAAATACTCTAATGGAAGCACAACAGAGAAGCAAGGAGATATTTCTAACCCTGCACTAGGCTGCCCGTCAGTGCGGTGGGTAGCTCGCAAATTTTGTTTAGTACGAATGGATGGATGAGAAGAGATTTCAAACGAAAAATGACCACCGCTTGTGCTAATCATCTATGTGCACGGTGACCAGTGACCGGGGGTCCAGAGGAAAGTTGAGGGTCACTCATCGCCTTGCAAACCCTAGGGGCAACATCCTCTGCTTCATTGCTATTCTTCCCGTTTTGCCTGGCGTGATTGTTGCTTGTTTCCGATTGGCATTGATCTGGTTCTACAGAGTTTTTGGGAGCTGGGTTTTGTCAGGATTTGTGAATTGAAGCAGTAAGTCGATGGGGCGAGCAGAGGAGGCACCAAACAGGCCTGCTAGGTCTGGTGAGGGATTGCGACACTACTATCTCTCGCATATACATGATCTGCTTCTTCAATTGCGAGTGAAGACCCATAATCTTCATCGACTTGAGGCGCAGCGAAATGATCTCAATTCTAAAGGTTCGTGTTCACTCCAATCATCAGAGTTTTCAATCGCTTTGTGTGTTGGGGTGACTGTTTTATGTGATGGGTTTTGTAGTCTTGATTGGAAGAAACGTGTGAATTTTCAAAGCCAGATGGTACGTTTGCTATTTTCAGACGACATTCGTTTTACAGTGGTAGGCTAGTGGATCATCTGTTTGTCATTGACTTGAGTTCTGGTTGTGCACACTCAGTGCGGATGTTGAGAGAAGAGCTGCAACTATTGCAAGAGCCCGGTTCTTATGTCGGAGAAGTCGTTAAGGTCATGGGGAAGACGAAGGTTCTCGTGAAGGTGGGTTTTGCATTCTTTGGAAACCCTAATTTTGATTTTGCTTCGTTTTTAGCGTTGATCTTTCTCCTGGGGAATAAGTTTGAAGCGGTTATCAATTACGTACTATTTGGTATACTGGTGAGGCGTTGATAGGGTTTGCGTGGGAAATCGAAGCTCTTGTCTGTTGAATTATACTCTATTTTGGATTCGAAGCGGGCCGGAAAGGGTTTTCCTGTTGCTATGTGCACATTTGTGATAATAGGGTCAGCATTTCAAGCAGTTGAGGCATGCATGGTTGTGTTTCACTGTCGGTGCAGGTGCATCCGGAGGGCAAGTATGTGGTAGATCTTGACAAGAGCATCGATATCAATAAAATTACTCCATCTACCAGAGTCGCGCTTCGGAATGACAGTTACGTTTTGCACCTAATTCTCCCCAGCAAGGTGGACCCTTTGGTCAATCTCATGAAAGTTGAGAAAGTTCCGGATTCTACTTACGATATGATTGGAGGTCTTGATCAGCAGATTAAGGAAATTAAAGAGGTGGGTCTAGTGTAAATGATTTGTTCCGTAATTTCTTTTACGTGTGCACAAATATTCTGGAAGCTGCTTTGTGCGAGTAACTTAAGAATGCAGGCGATCCATGATTGATGACTTTCTAATGAAACGCCTCTTTGAACATTCTTGGATTGTTGACAGGTCATAGAGCTCCCGATCAAACATCCGGAGCTTTTTGAGAGTTTGGGAATCGCTCAGCCAAAAGTACGTGTTGTAGTCTCTAGTTATGTGGAAGACTCTAGTTATAGTCGTAATTTGTTTACCGCTCTTTCTGGTGTCATGTGTGTTGCAAATTCACCTCTGAGTTAAATTATTTGAAAAAATTACTGACACGAATTGGTTCTACAGGGTGTTCTGTTGTATGGACCTCCTGGTACTGGAAAGACTCTGCTCGCCCGGGCTGTAGCACATCACACAGACTGCACTTTCATTCGAGTTTCAGGATCTGAGCTTGTGCAGAAGTACATTGGAGAAGGTTCTCGCATGGTGCGTGAGCTGTTTGTCATGGCTAGGTAAGCAGTCTTGCAGTGGTGCTTGCTACACTGAATCCTTCATTATGGTGGTTGCCATTGTTGTTGACGAATGGACTGCATGTGATTTCTTTTCTAGGTTTGGATACTTCGTACTTTGAACCGCTGTGATTGGCGTGTCGAAGATTCTGATACACATCTCTGCTTCTACAGGGAACATGCACCATCCATCATTTTCATGGATGAAATTGATAGCATTGGTTCAGCTCGTGTCGAGTCTGGGAATGGTAATGGAGATAGTGAAGTCCAACGGACAATGTTGGAGTTGTTGAATCAACTGGATGGATTTGAAGCATCTAACAAGATCAAGGTAAATTATTTCTATCAATTACATTGTAATCGACTTTTGTTCGACCGAGCTGTGTCATGTTGTGTTTGTACTTTGTGAGGATGAATCCTACCGACACTGTTTTTGTTTGGGTGAGTAAATAAACAATCACATGTTCTGAAAATTGCCTTCGTGTTGCTGGTTGACTTTCAACTGATTATCAACTACCTATCTTGGGACTTATGCAGGTGTTGATGGCTACGAATCGAATTGATATTCTAGATCAAGCTCTCTTGCGACCCGGACGAATTGACCGGAAAATTGAGTTCCCCAATCCAACCGAAGAGGTACTCAAAAGTGTATAATCTTAGTTTAGTTTTTTTGCTTTTGATTTTCCCTGTTATTGTGTGAGCTTATCTTTATGGTTAATCTGGTGTGCAGTCTCGATTGGATATTCTCAAAATTCATTCAAGAAAGATGAACCTCATGCGAGGTATTGATTTGAAGAAAATTGCTGAGAAGATGGGAGGTGCATCAGGGGCTGAGCTCAAGGTAGCTACAAACCTACAGTATCTAGGGTTTATTTCTGGTAGTGATACGAAGGAAGCTGCTAGAGGCTTTTGTATTATGTTATTTAAAATTTTGGCTGTTCGTTTATACTAATTTTTTATTGCTTCAATCAGGCTGTATGCACAGAGGCTGGCATGTTTGCTCTACGTGAACGGCGTGTACATGTGACACAAGAGGACTTCGAGATGGCTGTGGCTAAGGTGATGAAGAAGGAAACAGATAAGAACATGTCCCTGAAGAAGTTATGGAAGTGATCTAAGTTCCAGGATCATGATCTTGGAGAGCTGGCCATGTACATACTTATATGGCTAGTCTGCTGTTACTGCTCTTGAATCATTTACCCTTAAGTTAGCTTTTTCACTGTCAGGTTTCGGATAAAGTTTGAAAATGGTCGGCGAAGGAAGTTAAACTACTTGTAAGGAATGTAGAAGTGTAGTGTCCCAACATGTGTAGGTTTCACCAGTATTCTGGTTGTGAATTTCTTGAAACTTGAATACAAGATGCATCCATCATGGTAGCAATCATGATGACTCAAAGCAGCGCAGTCATGGTGTTCTTATTCCTGTATGCTCCACCCACGAGGTCCATGTAGGTAATTCAATATATGCGCAATAGCGATTATTGTTTTTGTTCAGTCAGCGAGTGTCATGTTGCCATTGTAGCTTGACACGGAGCTTGATTTCTGTCTGCGAGCGTGCATCTCATGCATAATCTTAAAATGTGTGGTTTGTTATTCAGTATTCATTTTTACAATAGGTGATGCTAAGTGACTGAAATTAGGCTTGAGGTCATCGGCTTGGTTTGTGGGCAAGCTTGTAAGCGATCACTTCTACAGTGACTGCCAAAACTGAGTAGGAAAACAGTAACTCTACCATTAGCTACCAAATTACAATTCCAGCAGTGCAAGTTAGATTGAAAAAGATGTGGACCAAAATGAATTACCTCAAATTATGTTCACACTTGGATTACAATGACATGATGCAATCTAAGTTACAAATCTAACATGCACAAGTGGTTTTTTGTGTGATTGAGAGTATGAGCATGTTCTTGGCCTTCATAAATATAATTGTGTCCATTATCAATGCCCATCACCTATGAAAATGTGTTTGTTTCAACACATAGAAACTCTTAGATTGCAATTGTTTTCCACCAAAATATGCTCAAAACTTGTTATCTCTACAAACTAAGCAATAACCTCATGAACAACAATATTTCAAGGCAAAAAAATCAAACAAATTTAGAAATTTATAACAAAACACTAGTTTAACCAAACCTCCTCTACAAATTGTTCAATTCTAATTTAATATGTAAGAACCCTATCTTTATAAATCAACCTCACATTATCAACTTCTAAAAACAAAATAAAATACCTTATCTTACACCAAAACAATGTTAGATACTAGAGCATATAGAAAGCCATTGAAGTGCATTACAACCTTAGAAACATGGAAGATTTAACTTTATCCAAAATCACATAGAAGATTCAAGTTTGGCAAAAATATCCTTACATCAAAAGCACAACAGAATACCATGTAGGAAGTCATCATCCACAAAGGATTTCAACCAACCAATTCTTAGTCCATTATCACAAACTTATCAAAACTCTTATTTTAATCAAATTACATTAAATTCCAACAAAATCTCATCACTTGTAGAGAACAATGATAATAAAAAATCAAACTAGATACTTTGCACTAACACTAAACCATTGCCATTGGCTAGTGATATGATAAATTCAAGAGTTTCAAAAATTGTTCCAAATGGAGTACCAATGCAAAACCTTCCTGTACAAACTTAATATAGCTAAAATGCCTAAACTTGCTAAAGATTTACTCCTGTTATGTTAAAAAGCAGGAGGGAAAATAAATAAATAAATAAATAAATAAAATCAGATTTCACAACTTCTCCAAGTTGAACACGTGACAAGATAAGCCCGACTGGTACTTTATACTTCCTTAATAGTCAACAAATCATAAACAGATTATTTTGACTGATTAAGTCACTAAAACTCACCCTTCACCATCCTCTTCACTGAACTACCTATTTTATCTTGCCTACAACCACTCAACCTTTGATCTACACTTCTCCCTTCATCACCTCGTACACCGTAAATTATAAACAATGAATTAAAAAGAATATAAAACTCACACACCAAAAACTTCTAAATTAGCGTGGTTTCTCCAATTGGATTCGCAATAACCTCTATCAATAATCCTCCCACATGCCCAGTCCACGGCTGCAATCGCCACTGTCTGATCCATCCACCCATCCATCCAAACTCCTCATAATACAAACATAGCACAGACTGTGATATATGCGATTCACACCAACTTCATCCACCACCCCTACATTTCAGAATCTCTCGCCACCTTCCATTCATTTCACTTACGACTCTTTTCAAACACACTCACCATGCTCACCAACAACCACCCCAAATGAAAACAAACGATACCACCACCCAAACGGCACCACAGGATCTCATTTGCTCGTCACCTGCACCCACAATACTTCCCTCTAACAACACATTCACAAGCTCCATGTACTCAACCGTGCTCCCCACACATGCCCATTTCACTCGCATACATTCATGTCCTCATT